TTGGAGTTACAATTTAATAGAAAGATTACAGTAAATGCAATGATACAGAAAAACATTTAAAACACAAAGGCAGAGTACAGCCTGGCACCCTTGTGGTCAGGGTTGCAGTGGTTGCAGTCCTGCCAGAAGCAGTGGTCTTGTGAAAGTTTGGGTCCTCCTCTGGATGTCCAGTGGTGGTGGTGGTGTCCCAAGTGCCCAACTGCCCAGATTATATACGTGAGGTTCAGGTGGTACATCCCCCAGGGCAGGGAGGTTCACAATGGACTGATGGAATCCCTTGAATCTAGAATATTTTTGGAGTCCTTGATCAGCTGCCCATTCTGCTAGTACATATTCAGTTCATTATGGCCCATTGGCAGACATGACCCTCACTGGATGGGTGGTGCTGCTGCTTCCCCAGCTGAAGGAAGGATAAAGAAACACTATCTCACCCTGCAGGGTCTGCCTCTTCTCATTTTAACATCCACCTTGTATCCTGGGGGGTCAGGTATGCACTGAAAATGATCTATCATTAACAACTCATCACAAAATGAGGTAGAGGGGAGTAGAATACAGTTTGGTTACAGCCACATTGGCACTTTTTTCTCTTGCAAGGCAACAAAAATCAGGCTCAGAAATGGCCCAACAAATTTTGATGATTTGAAGCTTAAGAGGCCTCATCTTCAAATTTTTGTTTCAAAGTTTTGATGATTTGATGATTTTGAAGATGAAGAGTCTTCTAATAGAAAAAAAAAGCAGTTGTGAAATTGTCAATCACAGGTCATGTTCAGCATTATAAATTCCAGTTTTGATGTAATCAAATCTCATTCCTGAAATGTTGCAATTTTTTTACATCATAGCTGAGCTAATAGTTCCATGTTATTATCCTTCTGAAAAACAGAAGTTAATAAAGGAAATTTTAAAATACACTCTAGTATTTTGTATTTTTACCTCCATTTGCTACGACTGCACTTCCCAAGGAAAGATGTTGCACACTGTGAGAACTGCACAGACTACAGCAGTTACAGTGTAGATTGAGGGATTTATTGTTCACGCATCCCATATTCTGCAGCAACAGTTCCAGGCTATAGAATGCTCATTTCTTTCTCTGCAGTTCCTGAGGAAGCAGGCAGTGGTACATGGAAGTACCTGGCAGAACGGCGGCAAAAGCGTCACGATCGAGCAGTGACCGAAATGCAGCAGGAGCTGGACGGCATTGGCAGGGTAAAGCAGGATCTTTTAATGCAGAGTCTTGAGTGCTCTTCTAAGGTCAAGGCCCAATATTGAAATGATTACACTGACCTACCGTTCTAGGAGATGGAAGCCTCTGTTTTGAAGATTCAGGAATTCCTTCAGCTTAAAGTGATGAAATCAGATGAAAAGAGTAAACTTCTGTTTGAAAAGATTGCATCTGACATGGCTTTGGAAGGTTTCTCATTTGAAGTAAGGCAGCTCAGAGCATTGGCTCAACTTCAGTTACTTGTACCTGCTCTATGTAATGTCTTCTTATGGTTCACTGAAGTCCTAAATTATTGGGTTTTTTCCTTTTTTATTTTTTTCTTATATATATTCACTTTTCAATGAGATTGAGAGTAGATTTTTATTGCAGGGTTTGGAAGAACTGTGGAATATGATCCATGAAGAATCCTCAAACAGAAAAAAGTGGATTAGGGCAGTGGACGAATCCCTGAAGGAGATTGAAAGGAGTCGAGCTGTTAAAGTGAGCTGCAGTCTCAATAACTGTTGCTTAAGCATAAGATTGTTATTTGCTGATACCATGCTGGATGCAGAGCAGGAGTAGCTTGTTTCCACAGGAGTCAGAGGCCTGCCAGTAGTTCTGTTATGTGGTGATTGCTTTCTTTTCACTAATAAACTCATTTATTTTCACTCATTTTACACCCACATAATCAGGAAAAGCTACTTTTTTCCTAGTTTTAAGGTGTTTCTTTCTTTCATGATTACGGATACTACAGGTGCAAGGAATATGTGAGCTGCTTTTATTTTCCTGGAGACTTGTGTAGGTCAAACTTTCATCTGGTCTGTTATTTTTTTGGGGAACATAGCTATTCTGCAGCTGAGAAGGAGCATAGACATGAGCTAGCTTGATTTTAGTTTGTGTTGGCTGGGTGTCAGTAGCAAATGTGTTGCAGTTTTGTAGTATCCAGCCTAACCTGTCAAAGTCATTGGACATCATGGGAAACGTTTGGATAAAAAAATTGATAGACTATGGAAGAGCTTGCTGCACTGTCCTTGTAGGCAAAGAAAAACTGTTCCATCAGTGCCTGTTCCTCCTCTCTTTGTAATTCAGGTATGGTGAATAAGTCTGAGAGTATCACCAGTAACCTTTCTGTTGGATTAGTTGCAACAAATGGCAGAGATGAACACATTTGCTTTAATTCTGTGTTCACTTAACACGGTGGATTAAGATATTTGAAGGGAAGCTGGTTTGATTTTTAAATTCATATTGCAGCCTGTCTGCAGAGCACTCAATTATCACAATTAAAGAGAAATCAGCTGAGTAGTAGCAAAGTGGAATGTTTTCATTACTATTTTTATGAATTAATGAAAAAATCAGTCATTAAGATAGCTAAGAGTAATATTTTTAAATTTACTTCTCAGTCTGTGTCATCCAATTAACTTAAATTAATTTTAATTTATTTAATTGATTAATAAATTATATTCATTTTAATGGAAAAATTGTCTCATTCCTGTAGTTTTTTGACTTTGAAAATTGATATTTGAGTTACACTTTTTGTTGTTGATTTTCTTTATTATTTTATTGCACAGATAGCAGATGTACTGACCAAGTAGACCTTGAAACTGGAAGAAATTTCTTTCTTCTTGGCAGCTGATGTTCACCAGCTCATTAACAATAAGGCCATGGTAAATGTTTTACCTGGGGAAAGATATCAGTCTGAATATTCCTAGAATGTCTTTTTTTTCCCCAACTGAAATGCATTTTTTCTGCCTATCAATCACTGAAATATAGAAGAGATTTCTACTTGGCAGGGTATCCATTATCATTTGTGTCCTTTTTTTCCCCTCATTTTCTGTAGAAGACACAATTTTTTTGGTTTTTGCATGTTGTATAATGCTTCTACTCCTGGTTTTATTTTTTAATACACAGAATATAAACAGAGTACTGCTGGGTAATGAGAGGGCAACTGCCAAGCTGCTCTTTAATGTAATGAAATCAGAGCTTGAGAAAGACAAATTGCATCAACTGAAATGGCAAGAGAGAGTCAAGGTCTGGAAGCTCATCCAAAAGAACTGCATAGTTCAGAGTTTCAGGTCAGAAATTTTGCAGTCTTATTTTGGACAATGAATAACGCAAAGTGACTAGTTTCTATAAAAGTAATACTTTATCATTTTTTCTTTATACATATCACATATGATATCATATCATGTTTCCATTATACATATCTTTTTTCCATCCTGCAGAGAATTTACGGCAAGTGAAGAAATACAGAATCCCCCAACTGTGAAAACAGAAATGGAAAATATGATAAAGGAGCAGATTGTACTTAGTGAACAGAGACTGAGAGTTTTGCAGCACATTGGGTATGGCAGAAGAGGGTATAGCATAAAGGGAAACAATTCTTTCTGGAGCTGATGAGGGACTTGGCTACACAATGCACTTTGCTTCCTGTCAGTGTGTGATTGTTAAATTCAGCAATAAGGCAGGGTCTAAACCTATTTTTGTACAGCTCTTTTTAATGGAAAAAAATGCACTCTTGATTTTCACTGCACCAGCTACACTAAATAGGTGGTGATCAAGGGCTAAAAATGCAGGAATGCAAAAGTAAATCTTACTGACATTTGAAATGGGGTAGGAATGGGTGGAGAACTAGAAGTTGGTATGTCAAGACATTTTTTCTCTGTGGGATTTTATTTGTGTAATAAATTAAGAGAGGAGTCTGCATAGAAATCCAACACTGCTGTGTTTGAATATCCATCCTGAACACAAGAAGCATTTTTGGGTGTAATGTGTTGCAATATTTACAGGGAGTTTTTTTACAGTGTATGTAGGAACAATTACATTCCTACGTGCAGGAATTACACTTAGTTCCTTGTCAGGCAGTAAATAGTTGGCCTCAAACAACAACAGTCTCTTTGGTTTATTTTCATTGCCAAAATGGCTTTAAATAAAATAATGCCCAGTAGTATGGATACTCTGATTCATAATTTTATATTTTAAGTACTGACTGATTTGTATTTTAAGATACCTGACTCTTGTTTCCTACTTTGATAGCACCTTGTTGCCTCCAAAACATACACAATCTGACATAATAAATGAATGGTACAGAACTCTGGAGAATTTAAACAGGAGTATTGGTAAGTTGAGAAATGATAAAACCAGTTTGGAATTCAAGCAATCCTTTCTTTTTCCCCAGGCAACGAGGCAGACAGTTGCTGTGAAAGTGCATGTTTGCTCAATTCTTTATTCTATATGTTCCCACTTACGTTCTCTGTTGCTTTGAGCTGGCTACTAGTAAGACCCAAAAATGCTT